TGAACTCGCCACGCTAATGATTTGAGGCAGATTTGAAATCCACATCACCCCCGGGGGTGAGAAGCTACTGCTCTGTGTGGGAAAGAGCTGTGGTTTAGGAGCAAGGAGCGTCCGGTCTGCGGAGGGAGGAAGGCGAGCGTTCCTCTGCGTGGATATTTGGCGGCCGCAAGAGGAAGGTTGTTGAGCCTAGTGGAATAATGGAGGTGACAGACCGGGCCGTGCCCGCAGGCGTTTCTCACGGAGAGGGGGCAGGTGGTGGGAAAGGGAGAGCACGTCCCCTACTTGTTTTTGCAGCACATGTAGCTTTGGGAGCTGTGTGTGCTCTCAAGCCTGAGAGCAGTTTTGCTTCCACTAAACCGAGTCGGAGCAGTTTGCTTTGTCTTTTGGCCTTGGGCCCTTTCCTTGTGGAGCAAGTTCCCTTTTTGGAGCGGAGAAAACATGTGCTTTCTGGGAAGCTGAAAACCCCTTGTCCAATCTTTCTGTGGTGAAAAGAGGTGAGAGAAAGCAGGGTTCCCAGGCCTGCAACCCTGAGGAGCTTTTGGGATCAGGAAGAAGGGGAGGCACAGTGACGGCAGCAGCTGGAAACGGAAGGAGTCCACCTGACCATCCCATCCCCTTCCCCTGGCTCTGGAGCCTGCAACGCCACCCAGGCTTTCTGTCTAGCCTGGCTCCAGCAAGCCAAGGCGAGGTGCTCCCATCCCTCCCCTTTGGAGGCCGTTCTTTTGACTTGGAGCTTTTCCGACTTGTTCCAGTGCCTTCTCCTGTTTTCCTTCGTTCAGGGCTCTCTGCCTCCTTTGTACCTCCCAGGAGTAATTTTTTCACCCCCACCCCATTCCCTTTCCTTCTTTGGTGTTTACATTCTTCAAATGTTTGCAGACTGTTATCACGTCCCTTGTAGCCGCTCTTCAGCCCGACCAGGCAGCCAGCTAGCTCTCTATAACCTGGGGTTGTAAGCCAGTCCTTCCAGACCTCACCTACGTTCCCAGCTGCTCTGTGCTGGACTCTCTCCCGTGCCTCCACCTGGCCAGCCATGCAGTGGGCAGAGCTGAATATAACTGTTGTAGGTGGGGTCACAACCAGGCAAAAGTGCTTCTGCCTCTCACCCCAGAACCTCTCCTTCTGCAGCCTTGAGCAGCACTTCAGGGACAGCGGCTTTGTGTTTTGCTGGGGGTGCATCCGGTTGCATCCTTGCATCTCCGTTGTTGTTTGCCGGTACCCGGATCTCTCAGGGTTGCTGCTTTCCTGATCGTTTCCTCCTCCTGTCTCTGGGTCTCTTCCTCAGATACAAGATTCAGTCTCTGTTCTCTGCCTGTATCCTGAGGTTTTTTTTTTTTTCCCGGATGATGAAAACTAGATTTGGTTGTGGAGAGGGGGAGAAAGGGGGCCTTGGACACATCTACTGATGTCTGGTGCTGGGGTACCGGTCCCCCTACAACAAGAATACTTTCAAAGTTGCTTCCGTAGCTGTGGCTCCACATCTAAGGGCTGCAGGGGAAAAGAGACTATTTCTGCCCTGTGCAACTCACGTGTTTGGGAAAAGCCCTCCGGGAGGCATTTTCTTGCCCTGGTACTGCATACAGGGCAGAAATAAGGCTGGGATGTGGTGGCAGTGGTTCTGGTGGGACTTGTCTAACGCTAGGATTTTGTTGGAGTTTTTTCCCAGTGGAGTACGCACTGTTCATGTCTGTTATTTCAGCGATTAATGCTTTGGCAGTGTAAATCTTCAATAGCATGAGACCTCGTTGGTCTGTACAATAACCCCAGCCAGAAATCCTTTCACTCCCTCTCTTGCTGGATTGTTCTTTTGCCTCTGTGATCTCAGCTGTGTTCTTGCCTGCAGGACTCTTAGCCTGGAGCCTGCAGTTTAGTTTTTGTGAAGACACTTTCCTAAAAGCCAAATGCCTCTAGGAAGTTGCATTTCCTCTGTCTCGTAGCCCGCTTAATGTTGCGGCTTTAGCTTTGTTTTGAAGCGTCCTGAAAAGGAGGGGAGAGCAGCCCCCCGTTGTTTTCCGTCTTGCTGGTGGTTGCATTATTCTGTAATGCCCGGGGATATCTATTACTCATCACAACGTTCCTGGGAAGCAAGCGCATGGACATCTGGTAGAGTGGAGAAAAAGCTGGACGACCTCTGGGGACGATGGGTGGGCTTGAAGAGAAAACATAGCGCTCGCGCTAATGACCCTGGGGGAAGCGAACATGCCTGTCTCTCTTCTGCCTAACGCACGCACGTGTGTCCCAGGACGGGAGGTTGTTCCTAACATCTTGCTTCCTTTCCTTCCCCCCTCCACCCCACCACTCCCAACTCGGGGCCAGAGCTGAAGTCACTGGATTGGAAGGGATAACAGCGAAAAGGGTGGAGCTGCTGCAATGGGGAAGGAATTAATTTTCAGAGTGTTTTTTTCAGAACGGCAGTGGGGCTGACGTGACGTCTAGGTCTGTGAGAGCAGGGCTGGCAAGCGAGAGGCCGAGGGGATGCACGCACCTTCCTCATTTCTCAGCCCCCGGCAGCATTCGTCACTGCTGCGGGAGGTGAGGCATGGGAGCTGGTGCCGTTTCGCTCGGTTTTGCTGCCCGCCTCCCTTCCCCGGGCGCTGGGGGCTGCAATCGGACACTTGCGGCCAGGCCTGCAGCTGTAGTGACAGCTGGCCCTCCCCTTCTCCGGGCCTCCCCGCTCCCTGCTCTAACCAATAAGCTCGGTAGAGTTGGGGTGGGCCGGTGCTTATTCTCGCCTCCCGGTAACCTTGGGTGTAACCCAAGAGCTGCAACTTAGGGAGATGAAAGCAGGGGAAAGTTTTGCCCAGCTGGGCAGCGAGAGAGCTGGGCTTGTGAGGCAGTCAGCTGGCCCCCCCGCGGCTGTTCGCTGGGGTCATTGGAGGGCACAGAAGAGCCATCAGCTTTGCCGAGCCACCCGTTCTCACCAGCTTGGTCTTGGGTGGAGGATGTGGCACATGGGGAGTGCTGGCAGCTCCCCTGGAGCTGGCAGATCAGGTGCAGACCGCTCGGAGGTACAGCTCTGGCATCGTCTCCTTTTCCGTTGCTGTCCCAATGTGGTTTGGCTAGGGAAAACGTGACAGATTTGCACACTCTATCTTTGAAAGAAGAGGCATTGCATTGCGTTATTTGCTAGTGCAACTTTTCCGAAGCCAGCAGAGCTGGGAGGAGGACCAGCTCTAGCCTGTTGGGTTGAGGGTAAAGCGAGGGAGAGCAGTACCCTGAGTCAGCTCTCTGGCTTTCCACCTTTGGAAGGAGATAAACTGGTTGGGATGCTGTACTCATAGCATGAGGTGGAGCAAAGGAGGGAGGAGGGAAAACTTTTTTTCTTGCAAGGGATGATCTAGATGAAAATCTGATCATGCTCCTCTTCAGCATTTATGGCCCAAGGCCAGGCAGACAACAGGTCCTGCAGCGAGAGAGAACAGAAGGAGCAAGGTAGCAAGAGAGAAGCCCCAAATGCCTCAGAGAGGATTTGTTCTCAAGCTCTGGTTGCGACTCTGATTTGATCTCTAGTCTCAAGCAGATCATTTAAACGTGATGTGTTTTCACAGCTGTTAAATTGCCTCCTGTACAGTTGCGGTAAGGGCTGTTTCATAGAGAGCTGCTCATGTCTTTAATAAGTGACCAGTGGTGAAGTTACTGGAGGGACATACCTCTGGGGCACAGATGCCCAGGATTTGGGTGAGGGGTGTCTAGTTCTTTGACTTTGCCTCCTTTCCAAGCCAAGCCCGTTCAGTGGCAGTACAGCATTCCCTTCTGCACGTTCTCCTTGCCCCTGCTTCCCCCTCCCCTATCTGAATAAATAATTCCAAGGCACCTTGTGGAAACCTCACTGCTGCATATTTTCCTTTTTTTTTTTTTTTTTTTAATCCTTTCCTTATCTCCTCTTTCCTCTTACAGGAATGATTGCCTGTTGCTGAGAGCTAAATGCAGTCCTCTGTGCCACTGGGTCCTAAACCCCCATGAGTTTCCTAAAAGCAATGCTAGGCTATTTTCACTTATTATACACTCAGCTTCCACCCGCTGGTGTGAAAAGACCTTTTGTGGGTTGTTCCAGACCCAGCACGCAGTAACCCTCTGTTTTGTCCTTTTCCCTCCAGCCAGATCTCCTCAATTTCAAGAAGGGATGGATGTCCATCCTGGATGAGCCAGGAGAGGTAAGCCTGATGTGGAGGACTACCTCCTTCCCCAGCATCCGTTGTTGGTGTTCCCCACGTGAGCGGTGGTTTTCCTTCCCTCCTTGTTGTGGTTTCTCCTGCTGAGAAAGACCCAGCTGACTCCCTGCTGAGGGGAACCTTTGAGTTAGGTGCCCCACTTGATATGCAGGCACAGCATTTCACTGAGCTCCTGTTGCTGCCCCTCTCTTAGCTGAGGGACGTGATGGGGGAGTTGGAAGGGATCTGGAGCAGGGGAAGAAGCCTTGCACGCAAGAGGGCTGAAAGGTCAAGGAACAGAATGTCCCTCCCTGTTCCTATGCCTTCCTCAGTAACTGTCTATCCGTTTCCCTCTTGTCTTTTCCCCTCCCTTCCCCTCCCTTCCCCTAACTGATCTGCTTGCAGTGGAAGAAACATTGGTTCGTGCTGACTGACTCAAGCCTGAGGTATTACAGGGACTCTAATGCTGAGGAGGTAAGCACGGGCAGTGTTTTTCGAGCCCTGCGTTCTTTCCTGGCCGCGTGTGGTGAGGAGGGGGAGAGGGGAGAGAAAAGCGACTGCTGGCATGACCAACTTGCTCCCAGAAGGGGGAATACTCTGTCCCAATCAGGGGAGCCAAACGTGGCAAGTCTCTCTTCGATACAGTTTGCAAACAAGTCCTGAGGAGGATGGGGTATCTAAAGTGCCCCAACCAGCAGGGGTAGCAAAGTCTATTGGGTGTCTGTTAACGGTGGGAGGTGAAGAGAAGGCCTAACCACCAAGAGGCCCAAGACTGGGCTGCACTGGTCCTCTCCACTCATGCTGCTGGTTGCCACTTGGGTTGAAAGAGTCCACGCTGTGTAGAAGAGGAGTTGAGACTGGGGTATCTGCTAAAGGACTGGGCTGTAGAGTGTTTGGCCTCCCACATATAGTCCAGGTGGATTTGATGCCAAGGAGTGTAGTGAGCCCACTAAGACAGCTGTGGTGGGACTCCACCTTCCAGAGAAGGGGCTTTTTCGGAGCAGGGTTTTGTACCTGTCCTAGAGGGTGGCTGTGCTTTCAGGCTGATGACCTTGATGGTGAAATCGACCTCCGTTCCTGCACGGACGTGACAGAATTTGCAGTACAACGCAACTATGGCTTCCAGATACACGTGAGTGCCTGGTACCACACAGACCTGGTGCTGAGCAGAGGCCGCGCTGAGGGATGCCGGGTGGGAATGCGTGCTCTCTCCTTCTCCATCTCTCTGATGTGGAGGCTCAAGCAGCACAAACCTTGTGCCACAATGGCGCTTCAGCAAGACTAGCTGGTGACCTATGTCCACAGCATTCAGAGACGTGAGGTCCTGTGCACGTGCAAAAGGAGGAGGAGGTTTTACTGGGCTGGACCGGGGCTAGAGGCTTCCCAGGAGTAAAGTTGAACACCAGGAATATTTACTTGACCCACTGGCCGATGCAGCTTCTCTAGAGCTGAGTGGGAGGGAGCAGTAAGCAGAGCAGATCTTGGCGTAGTCCAGTTCACAGTGCTGTGAATAACAACCTGTACCCTGGATTTGGCCCCAGTACAATTCTGTCTCCTGTTACTTTGTGAGTAAGCTGTTAAAGCAGCACAAAACACAGTATGTCTTTCTGTGCACGTGCACATGCACAGTTGGGCACTTCACGTTTTGGTGTCCTTGTGGCATGCAGCTGTATCCCAACATTGGTGCTCAGCTCCAAGCATCGAAAAGGTTGGAGCATGTTGGCTAATGTTTGGTCAAATATGCTGGCAACGTTTCTTTAGTCTTTGCTTAGAAATGCTCTCATGGGGGACATGTAGCAGGCTTCTCCACAAAGAGCACATCTCTACTCCTAGCACTCCGCATGATACTAAGAGCATGGGAGTGAGCAGGTCTTTGATGGAGGGTGGTATCTCTAGCTGGTATGACAGGGGAACACAAAGAGGGACTGTAGGGTTTTGTAAAAAGCTCTTGGTGAGTTTACAGTCTGCCACCTGTGTAACTGGGTGCCCAGCAGTCTTGAAAAGCCAGCAGGAGCTGCCCATGCCTTTGCCTGATGATGGTGGAGCTTCTGTCATATCTCCCTTTCAGACAAAGGATGCCACTTTCACTCTGTCTGCGATGACCTCAGGCATCCGGCGGAACTGGATTGAGGCACTGAGGAAGAACGTGCGCCCAGTCAGCGCTCCGGACGTCACCAAGTAAGACCTGCGTAGCATCGTGCTTTTCTCTCCCACAGAATTCCTCTGTCTCTTCCCTTAAAAGCAGAGACTGAGAAGGCTCATCAGGGACCTGTAAAGGCTAGTAGCTCCCTGTCTCCCCACATCTGAGCGGGGAGTGAGAAGAGCAAAGGGCATGCAGGAGATTGTTTCCAGCCTAGGGCCCAGCAGTGATCAGCATGTGAGCACATCTGGATTCTTTGAGCAGAAGTTTATTTTTATTCCTGAGACCAGCTTGTCCACTGTCAGCACCCAAGCACACACTTAGCTCTAGCTGGAGGTGATGCTCTCCAGAGGCACAAGCCCTTGGCGGGTTCCCGTGCGCGTCTGTGAGCTTTTGGGAATCAGGCACGGGTAGGCCCGGAAGGTGTTTCAGGCCTGTCCAACCAGCTGTTCTCCCACCCTCTGCTCTTTCTCAGCATGGCTGGAGATACTGATCTCCAGCCTTAGCCAGCAGCATAGGTTGACAGCCTGCTGATCACACTGCCCACAGAAGCCTGCTCTTAAACCCACTTTTTGCCTCGCACCATTAATTTAGTTTGTGTTGGTGCAACTGGAACTTGGGCCTAATTCTCTCCACCTCCTCACCCCTCAGGAAAGCGTGTTTCCTCACACACGCATGCAGAGCTGCCAAGTGACATGATGTAACAAGCCCAGCTCTGCTCTCATGTGGTTTTTTATAAGGCTGGATTGAGCAAAGGCTTAGCCTTGGGTTAGGCCTGCAGCGCATGGGGCCATTCACACCGCGTCTGCTGGCGTCCTTTCCCGCACTGTGCCTCTGCTTCATGTGCTGCTGCTCTGCTTTCAGGCTCTCTGGCTGCAATAAGGAAAACTCATTCCGAAACTACGTCCCTCAGAAGAGCTCGCTCAGGACAGAGGAGCAGCAGCGGCCAGGCTCGGGCTCCGAGGTGATCTCCAAGGGCAGTCACTGGAAGGCAGATGGGCAGCGCCATGCTTTTGACTATGTGGAACTGTCCCCCTTGCAGCAGGGCCCTGTGAATCAGGGGTCCCCACAGAGGACAAGAGGGAGTTTGAGGGTCTCTGACCGAACTCCCAAGCATGAGGATCTGGAGAGGGATCAGGCCATCCGTTCAGAGGAGAGGCGGAAGTGGTTTGAAACCCCTGATGTCGGGCTTCCGCACAGTGATGGCCCAATGGGGGACTCCTCCCGCAAGGTGGGGGAGCAGGATGTCCCCACTCCCCCACTTTCAGAGGAGCAGCGGATTCGACTGAGCGAGGAGATAGAGAAGAAGTGGCTGGAGCTAGAACGTCTGCCTCTGAAGGACTCAGAGCAAGGGGAGCCACGGAGATGCCAATGAGGCACTGAAGAAAGAGGTAGGAGCATTCTTCTCTCTGAAACCTGGTTTCTGATGGGCCCTTATTGCACTACCCCGGGACCTTTGCCTCCCTGGCAGCAGGAAGCTCTGTAAGAGAGCAAGGCAGAGGTGCAGAGGGGACACTCATTCTGGCCCTGCTGCCTGTTCTGTATAGGCAGCTCTAGCTCCATTTGCCACCTCTCAAGCCCATGGGAGCGTGCCCAATTGGGTAACACGAGGCCAGAGACTCGTTCTCGCGTGCCTTGAGAGATTCCCTAAGCCCTGTTTTGGCCCAGGATAAGTTATTTGGTGGCATTACTTGTGCAGAGTTTGTTTCCCGGGAATGCATTTGCAGCCTCTTTCCTCTGGCTGTTCCCAAGTGTGCAAATGCTTCCCCTCCCTATCTCTGAAAGGAGCTATGTGCTCATCTATCATTATATCTAAAGGTGCATTGATGTTTTCCATGAGGATGGATCCACGTCCACAAGAGAGTGTGTCTTAAGATGAAGTCTCCTCCCTTCCTTGCTGGTGCTTACTGTGCTGGGGCTGGCTTCACTGGTTTGGTCCCCTTGCAGGCCGCTATTCCCATGGGAAGCACACATCTCCTTTGGCTGTGTATATTCCTCCCTGTCCCTAAACTTGGAGCCTGGCTGGCTGGCAGATACAGCGTGTTAGTCTGGCCTCAGCACCTTTCCACCCATGGCTGAGCTGCTCTCACCCCTCTCTGGCACAGGTCCAGTCCCTGCGGGCACAGCTGGAGTCCTGCCGGGCCCGAAACGAGAGCCTTCGGGATGCAGTGAAATCCCAGGGAGACAGCCACGTGCCCCGGGGGTACATCTCGCAGGTGAGCGGGGCAGGGGCCAGGGCCTAGGATCACTCTGCCCTGAACCAGGAAATGCCAGAGCCCCGACTGCTCTCATTGCCAAGCAGGTATTGCTAATCATTGGGTTGCTATGGTGACCCTAACTAGGCCCAGTTGTAATCGATGTTAATTACATAAAGGCCAGTGTGAGTTGCCTAACCTTAAAGGGGCCCGAGTATAAATGGTGCAGAAGAGGAGGAGAGTTAGGGTAGGATCTGTGTCCTGTTTTGTGCTTGGGACCAGTGCAGTGCCTGCTTGCGCTGGCTGGAGTGAGCCGTCTCCTCTCTTGAATGGATTTCAGCACCAAGAGGTGAGAGAGACTGTGCCACACGCCAAGGTTCCTGTTCCCTCCCCGGATGTGTTAAACATCCCACAGTTCAGGACGCACACCTGTTTAAGTGCTGCAAGCTATGGACTTGCAGCTTTAATCCTGTGTTGCGTGGGGCTCTGAGTGATGAAACCGTTCTTTGGCCCTGCCAAAGGTAAGCTGTGCTGCAGCCGGGTCCTGCCAGAATGGTGCATATCCATTGCAGGGTTTTGGAACAGAGATAGCAGCTTTCTCCTCAGCCCCCTTGTGTGTTCAGCAGTGATTTTGCAGCATGCTCACGTGTCTGTCTCTAATAGGGGCCTGGTGGAGGAGCAGACTCCCTTCACGACAGGAATCACTCATCAAAAGCAGTCTGTTAGGCCCTGGGGACTTAGGTCCCTTCCCTGCCAGGGCCAACTGAGCACTGCAGAGCGCTGAAGGTCACTTCAACAGCGCAGCCCATTCGTTTGCTGGGACAGCACGTGGGAAACCCTGCGAATCAGAGTTTGCTCACACTTCAGCTTGTTGATTTACTTATTTTTTTCCCTTAGACTCAGCCAATGGGGGAGGAAAAGCAAGCAGGATCAAATTCAGCAGGGTGTTCAGCACCTTTGCTGGAGAGGGGGACAGCAAAGTGACCCTCTGTGGGAGGAGGCTGTAGTTTGACCCAGCTAATGGGATTTGAGGACTTGTCACGTGTTGGAAGAGATTCTAGGGGAAGGAAACTGGCTCGTAACCAGCCTATTGCAGGAGGTTGGCTGTACCTAGCTCAGATAAAGAAAACCACAAGTCACGTGGCATCTAGCCCAGCCAGTTAGCTGTCACTCTGTGATCTTGACTACTATTAACAACTTTAATTAAGGCCTCCTTATGGTTAAATGAAAGAAAAAGGAGGGGGCAGAAAGGGCATCTGGCCTTCCTAGTTACATTGTCTCAAAGTGTCTAATATCTGAGTACAAACAGCCCCTTTCCCAAAAGGGCTCTTTCTGTCTTAATTTGCCAGTGTTCACAACCAGTCTGTGGACAAACCACAGAACTGATCCCTCCCCTTTTCTCCTTTGTTTGAGCTGTGGAGCAGTTGCCAGCTTCCCTCATCTCAGTATGGAGGAGCAGCAAGGACTTAAATTCCTTCAGCACGTCCCAGTAAAAGCCGTACCCTAAATCTCAGCGTTTGCCTTAGCACTGGAGGAAGGAATGGGACAGCAAGGGGCTCTCGGAGGATACGATGGCTTCCTGGTGCTCTGCTGAGGTCTTAGAGGCCCTGGAACAGTTTGGTGGCAAATAAATCCTTCCCGAGGGGCTGGGAGCAGTGCTACTGTCATCTACAGAGAGCCTGGGCACATAGCTCTGAGATGGGAATCATTCAGTTTGCTGTAATACTGGTTAACTCCAGCACTCAGGCATTGAAAGAACAATATGGTTTGTCTTCAGCTCAGACCCATCAAAAAGGGATGAGCTGTGTGAGGAAGACCTCTAATAGTTAGGTTTTGGAGAGGGCTCTTTAATAGCATCTGACCAAGTTGGAGGGGAATGAAAGGTGTCACTTTTCTGAAGAGGCGGCTCAGTTTTCATTGATTCTGGGGAGTGCTGCTTCATTTAAAAGGCAAATACTGACTGAGATGTGGTTCCAGCCATTAATCTCCTTGTGTCAGTACAGCCTTGTAGAAGGGCCTGGGCCTTGGTGCCGGGAGTATTATTCCCAGCTCTGTCCTTGGTCAGAGAGACCTTCGTATCTTGGTGACTCAGTTTTAAGAAGCACAAGAGGATTATTTCTTTCTCTGCGAAGCACTTGGAGCTGCAAGATGCATGGTCCCATTGAACACTTGTGTTCAGCGATAAAAGAAGTACTTCAGTTTCAGATGGAAAACCCCATCCTGGGAGATGGTCTGATTTCTCTCAAAATGGCCCTGGCCTCGAGTAAGGTTTGCGAAATTAAACATCAGCCTGGCCAGGTGTCAGGCCTAGCTCGGACCCTTCCTCCTTCCTGTGTGTCTGCCCTGCAAGTCCCTCACTCCTCTGCCTGTTGTCCTTTCCCTGGTGTGGCAGGAGGCCTGTGAAGACAGCTTGGCTGAGATGGAGTCATCCCACAGGCAAGTGATGGAGGAGCTCCAGAGGCACCATCAGCGGGAGCTGGAGCGGCTGCGGCAGGAGAAGGAGCGGCTCCTTGCAGAGGAGGCTGCAGCGACAGCAGCAGGTAGCGCTGGAAACCAAGACATGCCCCCACTCAGATGGATTCCTCCCTCCTCTCCCAAAGGCCTCTCACTTGTTCCAGAAACCGTTTATGCCCCTGCCCTCCTTCACCCTAAGTGCTGGATCCCCAGAACCTCAAGACTGGGGACCTTGGGTATGATTGTTAGGGCACTGAGGACCCTACTTCCTAGGTGTCAACATCTTAAGGATGGTAGCTCTTCAGTCGCACCACAGGAAGGCCATGAGGCGTTGCGGTATGGTTGATGGGGGGACTGTGGTCCTTCCTCCTTGGAGCCGCACTGCAGGCCTTACTGGTGTGATGGTGATGCTCGGTCTCAAATGGAGCTTGGCACTCCTCAGGTCTGTGCTGAGAGGCCTGGTCAGGATGGGGGATGGAGCGGTAAAGACACTGTGGGAAATGGGGCCTTACCTCTCTGTGCATGGATGTGAGTGGGCCAGTGTCGTCTTGTAGGTAGGCAGGACTGGCTAAAGGTGGCATCCCCCAAGGCAGAGGTCAGACATCTCCCTATGGCCTTGCACCCCTTCCCATGGTCTGATAACATGCTAGCATTTTACAAACTGAGCCCTTAGATTCCTCATTCATATGAGATCTGGCCTGCGCCAGGTGATGGCACTGGGAATGGGCAGGTAGGAAGGCTCTGCTGCAACGCTGTGACAGGGAGCTCCCAGCAGTGCCCTTTGTGGCTACTTCTAGGCAGCATTTGGTGTGCCAGAATGATTCGGGGAAGCAGAGAAGGCAGGGAATTCCCCAGGTGGGGGAGAAGGGACCTGCAAAGACAGGTCTCTGAGTCCATGGGAGCAAGAGCTTGGTGAGTTCCCTGACTAATCCCACATCTCCTGTTTCCTTCTTCTGCAGCCATCGAAGCACTGAAGAAAGCCCATCGGGAGGAGATGAATAAGGAGCTGGGCAGGACACGCAGCTTTCAGCAGGGTGGCGCAGGCTCAGACGCCCTCCAGAAGCAGCACCAGTAAGAAATCTCTCCTCCCTCTGCCTTGCCCAATGCATGCTGCCCTAGCCAGGCCCTTTGGTCCCATCACACCCCATCCCAGCGCATAGCCTCTAGCTGTCCCTGCTGCTGCCCAGTTCCTTTTCCACTGCCCAGCAGTAATTGCCAGGGTTGCTGGAGTGTAAGGCAGGGGAGGTTCGTTCTCTGCTTGGCACCAGTAAAGCAGGATGTGCCCACAGAAGAACAAACAGCCCTCCAGCACTAGCGGAGGTTGTGGTATTCTCCCCCTCCATTTTCCTTCAGCTTGCTCTCTCTATTTTCTTTCTGCAAAGCTGCTCCATTTCTCCTGCATTACCTGAAGCTCCCAAAAGCACTGTGCTCCTTTCGGGGGTGGTGATGGAGATGGATTAAAGCCTTGATCCCCGAGGAACAATTTTTTGTAACAGTGGCTGTTGGAGGCTTTGGGAAGAGCATGTCCACGCCATGGGAAAGCAGTGCCAGTGCCCAGGAGACCACTGGGAGGGGAGGACAACGAGGGTTGCAGGGCAGTGACGTCCTGCCGCCTCTTTGGCAGGTTGGACGTGGATTCCCTGAAGCGGGAGCTGCAGGTGCTTTCAGAGCAGTACTCCCAGAAGTGCCTGGAAATTGGGGAGCTCACAGAGAAGGCAGAGGAGCGGGAGCAGACACTGCAGCGCTGTCAGCAAGAAGGGAAGGAGCTCCTCCGGCAGAACCAGGCGAGAGAGGGGCTTTCCCTGCCAGCAGAGACCACAGAGCACATTCCTCCCACGGGGGGCTGTCTCTTGCGCAGCACGCCCGATCTGTTAAAATTCCCCTATTTGTTCATGTTTCTCCTCTCCAAGATTTTATCATCAAGAAGGGGAAAAAAAGGGGAGGGGGGGATGGAGGCTGTAGATGGGCCTATCCTATGGTGAATGTATTCTTTTCTGCTGGAGGAGGATGCAGCTGTTATGTGTATGGGCAGACACAGTTACAGAAAGGTCTCTAAGCTGGGAACAGGGTTGGTATGAAGACCCAGGCCCTCTGGCAGGGGCCAGGGCAGCTGAGAGACTTGTGTGGTGGCTACCCTAACATATTTTTCTCTTGCCCCCAGGAGCTGCAGGCCCGCCTCTCAGAGGAGATCGGGAAGTTGCGAAGCTTTATTTCATCCCGGAGCTCCGGAGACCGGTCTCCGCACAACAACGAACGGAGCTCCTGTGAGCTGGAGGTAGGGAGGTGCCACTAGACCACCCCGCTGCTTCCCCCCTCCAGCGTGGGGTGCCTTGTCCTCGCCACGATTTCATCCTCGGAGCCGTCCCGTGCAAGGGAGTGGGTGGGAGGAGAGGGGCGATGGGGTCCTGCGGGTGGGGGCAGGGAGCTGAATGAAGCACCGGGGCTGGTGCAGGAAGGAGGTACGCAAGCTTCCCCTCTGCGGCTCTCCCGGGGCACCTCACATCACTTCCTTTCCTGCCCTGGCCCTCCTGGCCCTTCCTTCCTATTCCAAGGCTACACGCACACGGAGGCCAAGTGCCCATGACCGTTTCCAAGGCAATGGCTCTCAGCTTCCTCGCCTTGAGTCATCTCTGATCTCTTGCCCCCCAACCTCCTCGGCCCAGGTACTGCTGCGAGTGAAGGAGAACGAGCTTCAGTACCTAAAGAAAGAGATTCAGTGTCTCCGTGAGGAGCTTCAGATGATGCAAAAGGTATGTGTCTTCCAGGAGCTGTTCCAGCCTGCTTCCCAGGGCAGGGTGCTGATTTCCTCGCTCTGGAAGAGATGAGAAAGCAGCAGAAGAGCGAGGTGGGGGAAGGGAGCGTCGCGACTATGTAGCAGCAGGTTTGGCCTGGCATCAATTGGACTCTCAGGCCAAATGCTCTTGTAATCTGTGCTCCCTGTCCCTGCCTCCTCATGAAACAGCTGCGAGCATGGAACGGCCGTGGTCTCTGAATGGTACAGGACAGTGTAGATTTGCATTGTGAAGTACTGCATCCTCAGCCTAGATTTTGAGGGGAAATACCTCAAAATAGGTGGGGACCTTTGTAGCTGCTGTGTGAGCAAATATGGTACGTATGTATAAGAGGAGACAGGCCAGGAGCCCTTTCCCAAGTGAGAAACCCTGGTGAAGCCTGCTCAGTGCTTTGATTCCCCAACCACCTTCTATTTCCTGTCCAAGTTTTTCCCTAGGGCTTGCCCGCTCACTGCGTTGGCATGTTTCCTTGGGCACAGTTGTTAGGCGTGCTGATCGCTCTGCTTCTCCAGTGGCCTCCTAGCTAAAAAATGCCTCTGAGCGTAGTGGCTTTCACCACTCCACTCCAGCTGCCTGGTCCCAGACTGTGCTCTGCAAATTGCTGCCGGTCTGAGGCCGCAGTCGGTGGGCCGGGCACTGGTGGCAGCTCCTTCAGAGGATTTTCAGTGGAAAAAATCCTGCCACAGCAAGGAATCTGAAAGAAGCCATGAGAGTTGATGATGACCTCCAAAGTTTATAGCTTACCAGCTTAAGCTTTTGACCATTTAAGCGGCTGGTACCAGCCGTTTCAATCTTCAGTGGCCTGCATCTCCAGTCATTTTTTTTTTCTGTGTGGCTGCCATGGACACACGTGAGCAGTGTTAGAGCCCAGATCTCCTGCTCAGTTTGATGCCTTCAGGTCCACATTGTTGTGGGACTAGCAACTGTGCCTTCCTCCCCAGTTCAGGGTGTGTGCGCCCTGTGGTTTGGGAAGTGGTACCTCAACCCTTTTTTCCGAATGGTTTCTGAATGGCTCAGTTTTGCCCATGGTGGGAGTCCCAGCTGAGCCTCTTGCCCAGCCTCCCCTAGCCTGCAAGGAGGGAGAGGCAGCTTGAGCTGGGCTTCAAATCTCAGACTGGCTCTCCTTCCACCCACTGGCCTTTCTCCCACTAGTCTCTCCTTGCCAGCCCTTCCCCGGAGCAAATACCAGTGCAAATACTGGCTTCAGGATTGCTGACTCTTCTCCCTCCGCTGGCAGGATAAGAGATTCGCCTCAGGGAAATACCAGGACGTCTATGCAGAGCTGAATCACATTAAGGCGCGCTCAGAGCGGGAGATTGAACAGCTGAAGGAGCATCTGCGCCTGGCCATGGCGGCCCTGCAAGAGAAGGAGTCGCTGTGCAACAGCATCAGCGAGTAACGGTGAGCGCCAAGGGATTGTGCCGCCCTGCCTGAAGGCTGGCAACTGGGACCCTCTGCCTCACTGTGACGGGAGGTAGTTGGAGGGACAGAGGCAGGGCCAGTTCCCCCTGGCCCTACTCAGTGTTGTAGGGCTGACTGCCCTGAAAGGAGCTTTGCCCCTGGCTTTAACCCTTCCTTCTCTGCTTCTTGTATCCCCCTGTCTCACTCCCGTGGCCCTGGCCCTCCTCTTGTCCCTGACATTCCCCCGATGTCCCTGGCTCCCTTCGCCCATGCTGCCCTTGATGCTTGACTGCATTCCTGTGGCTGGCACTGAGCGCGCTGCTGAACTAGGCTGGGGGGTAGGAGCTGGCCACATGCCAGCCTTCTTTACCTTTAAGTTTGGGTGACAGCCTGTGTGGGGACAATTACATGGTAATCAGCTCCCCACATAGGTAGTTTCTGCTGCATTCACATTTGCAGTGGCTTAGATACCGCAGCATGGACATCTTGGGTCTGCACCAAAGCAGCCCCGACTAGACCCAGCCCTCTTCCCACGCTCGCTCTCGGGGTGTCCCTGACACTGGTGACCACTTGTGGGGAAGGAAGCAGGGTGGCAGAGTGCTATGAAGTGAACAAGTGCTCTGCCCTGTTGTCCAGAGCAATTCTGCTTCTTGCCTGGGTGCTACAGCCATCAGGGTTGGGGTTGGGCAGGGCTAAGATGAGTGGGTCTGTAGCAGGCTGCTGACGGGCCATGCCTGGGGCTAGCAGAAGGGGCAGCATTTCGGCACTCAGTGGAATCCCTCTAAATGATTTCTTTTTTGGTCTGTGTTTCCTCCATAGGTCTACTCTTCATTTGTTTATCTGTTCTTGTTTTTTATTTGCTCCGTTCCTCACTTATGGGGAGGGAGAGGTTGAATCCCATTTGTTATCACCTTGGCAAGAAATCCCCCCTCCCCACGCAACCTCCTCACTCCTCTCCCAAAGCTTTCAATGAAGCCCTTCCAAATCCCTTTCGCCCGCGTATCTGAGCACATTGTTTGGAATGGCTCTTTACATGCACCTTCTTCAGGATTTTATATGTGAAAAATTATATTTTATAGAAGTTTGGGGTTTTTTTTTCCCCCTGGGAAGAGGGGGCACAGGAGGGGAAAAGCTTCTTACATCTCCAGCATCTTCTAACCTGAAAAAGAGAAGCTGTTTTCCCTCCTCCCCAGCCACATTCCTCTTAGCCACATAGCCACCTTTGGCAGGTCCTATTTCCTTCCTTCCAAATGTCTCTGAGGTCCCGCTGGGACATACTGCAAGGACAGTGCTCTCCCCACGCCACCCCCAGGGACCTGCAGACAACACAGACAAAAGCCATAGGAGGGAGCTAAGGGGCGGTCTGCCATGGATGTGCTTCAAAAGAGGAGACCTTGGCAAAAGGCTGCATGATGAAGCTCTCGGTGACTGTCCTTTGGCTCCTTCAAGAACTGAATAGGCAGGAACCTCGAATCGTGGGGGCTGCCCCTCCTCAGGACCAGGGAGATCCTCTCCTCTCCAGGGAAGAGGAGCTGTGAGGTTGCTACTGCCCCGGCCGGAGCCAGCTCTTGAGGGTGGCAGCTGCTGCTCTGCTGTGCAGTTCAACTTTTAACTTAATAAAATCTTCTGTACAATGAATGTGTTTTCCTCAGTGAAATGGGAAGGCTTGCCAGGGCCTCCTAACCTTGTTGGGTGGGGGTAACTTTTCCTCCTGCCTTTAGTGCCAGTTTCCTGCATCAACATGGGGCAGGCACACTCCGAGCCAGTTCTGCAGCTACTGTTAAATGCAGAGTTTGCGTCTTCCCAATTCATAGTGCTGACCTGTGTATCTCGGGCCCTAGCGCGATAGCTTCGGCATGGCTTGTGTGGGCAGGCGGTTCTGTCTGCTCAGGCTTTCTCCTGCGCTGCAAATCTGCGCAGGAACCACATCCCTTCCTCTAACACTGGCCTCGTGAAGAGAGAGCAGCCCGTGGACGGAGACAGAGAGAAGTGATGCAATGTAGCTTCTAGCTATCTGCTCCTCCCATCTTTGGCTTTGAGGGAGGAAGTAATCTGTTTTATGACAGCCGTTCAGAAGTCCCGTGTAAACCCTCAGCCCCACAAAGGAAGAGGTGAGCCTGAGCTGTGCTACTGAATCAAATGTTGCCACGTCTTGTTTGATGTCTCTTTAGTGGGTGACAGAAATCCTATTGCAAGTTACTGGAAGAATAAAGAGCGCATATGAGGGGGCAGGTTAGACGGTCTCAGGGAAGGAGGAAGATAAGAGGAGTCTAAAACACTTTCCCTCACCTGTTTGTAGGTGAAAATGTATTGGTCATGGGGTCGGGGGGCTCTAGTCGATCTGGTACAGGAGGATGCAGGACCTACCAGTAACTGCTCCTTGCGCAGTCTGATCCTGGTTGAGCTGCAATGTAAACATAAACTTCCGCTCTGCGAAGAGGCTTCTGGCAATTATGAAAGAGCAAACTGGAAATGTTGCCGGCTTGTGCAGTGGGCTGGAGGCACCATTTGAAGAGGGGAAGGCAAAGAGGTCAAGGAGGGCTCTTGGAATGAGTGGGCCTACAAGATGATGGATGTGTCAGCTGGGATGCTAAAGACTGCGATAAACGGGGGTGAGGAGGTTTCAATGCAAGAACAGGAATGGGGCTTAAGGACAGTGTTAACTGCTAAGAGATGGGTTATGTCCGTGAGTATTCACTGAGCGTATGACAACCCACTTGTGGTATAACTAGGTGATAACCTAATCTCTGAGGCAACTTTATTGCTGGGAATAAAGAAGAGGGGGGATGGCACAAGGCAAATACAGCATCGCTCCTCTGCAAGTAGGCTGCAAGGCTGCTGGGCAGGGCTGCTGCATGTGCGAGCCACCTTTTGCAGGCACGGACGTGTGCATCCAAATGGATTTGGTCAGAAAAGGCTCCTGCCTTGCTGACTGCTTTGCTTCGGTAAGACAAGCTACTCAGTAGCTCACAAATTTCAGTAAAACTGGGTCCAAGGCTTTTATCATCCTGGAAAGGCAGTTGGGCAACGCAGTGAATGGTGCAAGAGGCAACGAGCTGAGCTCAGCTCCTGGCCTTTTTGCGGGGAGCTAGGCCAGGCCTGGTTCTGCTCTCCATTGTGTCCATGCTAATGCGTGATTTGGTCTTGCTGATCAAATGGTTTGGCAATCACTGGGGTCTAGGAGGCAAACCTCGGAGGCCTACTCCTGGCATCAGCAGTCTCCTGAAGGTGACCGTTTCCATTCGCCTCGGCGGTAGTCTGCTTCCCTCTGTTGGCTAAAGAGAGTTTCAGGCTCTCCTTCGTGGGGAGAGCAGTGCAGTTGTCAGGGTTTCCCGCACTGAGAGCCCTCCTGTCCTGGCAGTGCCCAAGGTCCCGACTTTTCCCTCCACCTCCCGGCAGGTCATCTCTGGTGCCATAAGGTTTAACACGGGATGAGTGTTTAGCACGCTGTTGGCCTAGGATGGAAAGAAAAGAGCTGACAGATCCACTGAAGACCACTACTTCCAGAAGATAGACATTAGTCTTGCTGTTAGGGACGAGTCGTCATCAAGTTAGGAAGAAGAAATGGGGTTTAGGTGTTGCAGGTGGAGGGGATGTGCCTATGTTTTTTTTAGAAAAATGGGCTTATCTGTCCCCCCAGGAAATGGAAGACATGAGAGCGACCCACAGGCAGAGCCTGCCACCGGCACACTTGCCCACCCGTCTGGGTGCCAGCCTGCAGGAGATTAGCCCCCTCCTCCACACCCCCAGCCCTGCTTCTGCTGCATTGGGTGCCGAATTACTAACATGCATGGTCATATCCTGCCCCTGGGGATGGGAACCTCTGTAAGTGGGGTGCTGGGTGCAAGAAGATGGCTATAAACAGAAAAAATGAGGACTGTTAGTGAAAGCAGCAGTGGGTACATGGCTTGCTGTTCACCAGCCCCTTCCTCAAGGAATATAGGATCTCGAACATGTGTTTTTTTTCCCTCTTCCTGCCTGGAGGCTGCTGGCCCAGATAAACATGTCAAATAAGTGCAGCCAAAATGTGTCAGTGTTTGACATGAGGTCTAGACGCTCCTCCTCGGGGCTGCGCGGCAGCAGATCAGCTGTCCCTCGAGACAGACCAGCTAATCATCTTGGGGTGACATGTCTCCAAGCTCTGGTATGCCACTTCTAAAACCAGGAGTATGTTAATCAAGTGGCTCCGCTGTCAGCGTGTGATAGGGCGATACTGTCATTTCTGTCTTTTCGGCGTTGCTATCTTCTGGGTCCAGAGGGATTGGAGGAAGGGAGTGGTGGGGAGAAAAGTTAACTGAAAATGTCATAGGTGAAGGAAATAACAGCCAGAGGGAGGCCCTCTCTTCATTGCACCTCACGTAGCCCATCAAACTTCCCTAAGCGATGCCTGTACCGACTCCAATCGCTTGCGACTGAACTGCAGGATCATGGCTGATAGAAATGTCCCAGCCTTAAGCAAGGGGAGAAGCCACAACTGTGGGGCACCCTGGTCATGTAAAAGTGAATGGTCCATGTAGTTTAAGGAGCTACCTGCTTTAAAAACCACCTAGTAAATCTTTTAAAACACTCTGTTGTAACCGCTCCATCACCCTGAGGCCACCTGTTAGAGAGGTTGCTGGTCCCTGTTTAGAAACCTCTGTTTGTTTTAGAAGACCCCCATCATTATTAAAATGATAAACCCAGGGAGAATTGCTTCCCTATTTGGTTTCGTCGTCTCCACCAAACGCCACAGAGAGCTGCTTGAACATGGAAATACCTCTTTATAGTTTATTGCCATCATTAAAGACTGCGCTGCTCTTCGTGGCAGCGGGGCCAAGCTGTTCTGCGCTCACCAGCACTGTGGCTGACCGCGTTCCTCCCCTCACGGGGGCCTGAGGGCTCCGGTGTTGCACAGAAGTCCTGAAGAAGAATGCAGCTGGAAAATCAGCTAATTTCCTTGTTTTGCTTGTAACAAGGCATTGAAGCACTTGAATCTGAGCACTGAAGGTGCCGCATCCCACCACTTCAACTGGAAGTCTGGGTATTTGGGGAAGGTAGTCTCTCTGAAACTGGAAACCAGGTAAAACAAAATTTTGTCGCCGTAGAATCACTGGCATCAATCACCAGGACTGCTGTTTCCTCCGCCCAATGCGCTTGGATGCTAATAAACAACCTTCTTGCCCCTAAAAGGCATGAGTCATTAGCCATAGAACTTGCAGCACATCCACGATGTATGTGGTTTGACCATTTAAGAAGATGAAGTCCTTGGCTGGAAGCGCATAAATCCTGACAGTCTGGTCAAATTAGGTGCGGGGAGGGAGAAGAATGCAAATAAAGTCATTTGGCTTACTTAGCAGATTCCTTTGCCAGACTGTTTCCTCTGAAGTTTATCAAATAAATGGTATTTCTCAATCTCTGCCGATTAACGTCAGAACGGTTTGGAAGCAGCCTGGCCACAGAGGGCTGGTTGGGTTCACGTTCCCCCTCCTCAGGGGCCAGGGGCTCGCCGCAATGCTCTGATCTCCTCCTTCTTGTCACCTGCTCCACCAGGCTCCTGCTAAACGATGTTAGCAAAGGCCTTGGAAATGGCCCTGTCTGCAGGGAAGATAGCAAGGTATTTATTTTGCCATAGACCCTGTGAGGGGTCACTAGCTAAGAGCCATTACTTCTCTAGCCCTGCACAATCCAACCCTACGGATAAATTGGGCCAGGAGAGTTGGAGAGAGAGGGCAGATTTCCTTGTGGTGAACTCAAGGGAAAAGGGGAATCCAAGGGGTAACCATCCTCGGAGCATTGCGGCAGATTGCCTTTGAGGTCAAGATACTTGAGTGATCATAAGAGCATGTCTCAGCAGCAGTGCAATCACTCAGGACCTAGCAGCCTGCTTTCCCTGAGCACAGTGCACTACGGAAAGGGATCACTGGCCAAAGTCTCCTGCCAAATATGGCAAAACAGTCACTAGAAAGGGCCAGGTAGGCAGGGCCGGCACTAGCACATGGAGAGCTTGGTGGAGGTCTGGGGACAGGAAAGGAGCAGGAGCCTGCAAAAGAGGTGGAGTTGTCACAGGTGGAAAAGGTGGCATCTCCCAGGCAGGGCATGGTGGGAGCTGACGTGTCCAGCAGGGACGGCCGGAGACTCTGGCACAACCTCCTGCTCCAGCACTTGCCCCCCCATCCTCTGCAGCCTCAGGGACATGCCCTTTTGGTGGTGCATTTTGTCCCCTCAGCCCTTGCGCTCTTTCCTCCCTGCTCTACCATGGGGACCATGGGTTCAGCCGTTGCAAGAGAACTTGCCCTGACGTAGCTCAGCCAAACCTCCTATCTTTATCGTGCTCCTGCCCTGCCCGACCCAGCTGCCTCCACGCACCCAGGGCTATCAGGCACAGCCAGGGGGACGGGGAGTGACAAGGGCTGGCTACTGCCAGGGGGAAGCGGCTAGACAGGACTGGGCGGCGGATAAGAGCAAAAGCAGTTCCTGTGGCCAAAAATACAGGCACAAGCCTAAGTCCCTGACAGGGGTGGAAGGGGAAGCAGACAGCCCACAAAAATATTTTTTTCCTTCCAGAGGGGTTAAGGAGCACATGCAAAATGCCCCCTGTACCGAATCCAGGGGGTGTGTAGGCAGAGCCGGGCTGTGCTGGACCTCACTCTTGGGGAACA